GGCAGAACCGCCTAATCTAATGCCTCACATGAGTGCTTGTCTTCCATTAAACACTAAGCACTGAAGGGAGAACACTAAATTACTCGGTTCCGTCGGGCACACCCCAGGGGAGAACCCGAAAATTCACATTTTTGCCATCAGGATCACAAATAAGAGAATAAAGCTTACATCATTCTTAATCATTTCTTACATCACTTTACATGTACATCAGAGTATAACATTTATTATTATAATAGCGGGATGTAATCATATTATCAGAGTTATGAATAATTTAATTGAACAGCGGAATATAAACATGTGAATAGAGTTACAGCGGAAATGAATATCTAATCATGTCATGATGAAGTATTGATAAATACACTATGACAACAGATTGTGAAACTTTTATTTATAAAAGCATTTTGTGAGAGTTATAAATAACAACTACGATCGCAGCGTAAACAAATCCTCGCTGAGCCCACCAGGAGGAATCCACACACAAGGGTCAGCTTTAACATCCACCTGTCACCTGCAACAGGGAGAATAAAACCCTGAGTACTCAATTGTACTCAGCAAGACTTACCCGACAGGAGAAAAGAAAAGACTCCAAGGATATGCAAGGCTATCTGGCTTGTGGGTTTATTGCATTTGCAGGAAGCATTACTAAATATGCGTCCTTATATTCAATTTTTATTAATAGCCGCATTAGTTCATTAACTAACCATTCTATGTAAGCACCTGTGCTACTTTCAAGCAAGTGGTAAGCAATCAGGTTTCCTTTTTCCATCTTTCATCTTTCATCTTCAGTTCTTACTACGGTGCTAGGCACGAAACAAACCGTACCGGATCGCCCGGCGATTCGCGAATCAATGCCCCCAGCTGGGTACCCCGAAAACACACGCCCCGCTTGTACCCAAGGCACAAACAGGACCAACCCATCACTCTCCTGTCCCGGGTGTCTAGGTCCCTGTCCAAACTGGGACTCCAAGCCCCCGCCCTTGAGTCCCGGACTCAGTGCGGTGCAAGGACCTCCTCCACCAAAATAAAACCCTGACAGTCAGTCTGAAAAGAGTCGGATCCACGACAAGAGAGCAACAAGTCTTCCAAGCGCCCATACTCAAGTATGTGCTCGGGATAATAAGTCTGTGACTTGCCTCGATGGCTTATGCAACGATCGGTCCTTAACCGACCAGACAGGGAAAGTAGTGTAACCAAGCTATGCCCCGCATCCACGGCGACATAGCCTCTTACACCCACCAATACCCAAACCATATCCCTGTCTGGTCACCATTTTCCTTTCCACCATTTATATTTTCCAAGTGATAATAATACAGTAATATATTTCCTATCTCTCGTGAGTGACAGGCAATCACTCGACTTCTACTGGAGTCCTGTAGCATAGCAATCTACACGATCATGTCATACTAGTAAGACTCATAGGATAAAGATATATATGCAAGTGGGTTTTATTCAACTCCTTAAAACTTAATGCACAAAGATAATTTAAACTGCAGAAAGTAGGGGTTATGCACCGGGGCTTGCCTAGGTAAGATATATTAAAAAGTTAGTGTCTGCATCTTCAGAGCATCCACAATCATCTGGATAGAAAACCCATTGCATCATCTCCTGGAGAGAATACCATTACACCATCTTCGGATTTCCAATCATCCTTCGATCGATCCGTTGATCCATCATCGTACCTATATGATATGCATGCGATGCAATGCAAATATGTAATTAATCAACTGCAATCGTGACTCGTATAAATACGCTTTACGCCTCTCGAGTTAACGGGCTAGTTTTAACGACGACCGTACTTAGGCTACATATACACGTTGGCCGATAAGGCGTTATTTCCCAACAACTATTTTAGTTATATAAACCAACTATGTTTCTTTATTTTATTCTATAGATTTAATCATTATTCGCAATAAGACATCATTATCTATTTAGCACACTAATTATTCTGGTGCTATAAACATTATAGTGAGTACCTAATATTGTTCGTAATTTACTGTACACTTTTAGATCCGACAATATTACCAATTTACCATACAATTCCTACAAGTTTACATTTTCATAATATTAAGCATTCTAAATCAATTAGAGCAACCTTCGAACCATCTTAAACCTAGGTGAACAAATTATACTAACAAGTAGATCCTAATTTTATAAATCTAATAAAATTAGTTTCATAATTTTTGGATCACTACACGGATTTATATTGATTTTACAGTTTTGCCTTATAAGCGAATTTAGAAATTGCTTAAGAAAAATAAAGAGGCCAACGATCACCTACTCGCCCAGCGGCCCAAGCCAGTGGTTTGCGCACACGCGGCCCAGGCACGATGGGGTGCTAGCGGCCCAGCGGCGGCGGCCACAGACCGGCCCAGGTGTGGGAGCGGCAATGGCCCAACGAAGGCGGGACTAGTCGGCCCAGGCGGGGCGGCCAACGGCCGGCCCAGCGCGGCGTGGGGACAGGGCGCTCGGCCGACGGCAAGACCGTGGCCCAAAAGGCCCGGCGAGTGCTGGCCAGTGGCAAAAGCAGCCCAGGCGGGCGGGGCGCACGCGGCCCAGACGCGGTCAGCGGTGACCGGCCCAGCGCAGGCAGCGGCCCAATCGCGGGCGAACGGCCCAGGCGCAAGGCAGCCCCACAGCCGGCCTAGCGTGGGCGGCACGAGGCCGGTCCAGGCGGACGAACACGGCCCGACGCGGCGCGGTGGCGGCCCATTTTGCAAAAACACCCCTGCGTTAACCTCTAATTGACGCAAGATCCCTAGGAACTATTCAATGGAGTCGTGTATTTTGCAAATAAGACCATGTATAATGCTTCTTCTTGGACTCTTACCCCTGCCTTCATCCTCAAGAACAGAGAGCCGACGGGAAACACTGGCCGGCGGCTGGAACGTCGTGACGGGACCGGGAAGAGGCACGGTGACGCTCAGCCTGAGCGACTGAGGCAAAAGGCGTCTGGGAGGGGCGGAGCTGTGCGCGGCCATGGCGTTGACTACGAAGGAGAAGGAGAGCGGTGAAACCGACCGAGCTCGGCCCGGGCGCACGGGCACGGAAGGAGCGAACGAGAGCTTCCGGCGGCCTGGGCTCGACCAAGGCCACCGCGGCCAGGCAGCGTGCGCCAGGAGGCAGGCCATGGCGGCTGCGGTGCTGGAGTGGAGACGAGGAGGTGGCGCAGTCACGACGGTGGTGGGAGGCGCAGCCATGGCGGCTCGGTTGCGCCTGCGCGCGTGGGGGAAAAGGAGAGGCGCCGGTGGTGCGGGTGGACGGCGCAACCCAAAGGAGGGAGCGCGGGCATCGAGGAGACGGAGGTCCGGCGAGGCCATGGGGCACGCGTGCTCGTGCACACCCGCGACGGTGAAGGGAGGCGCGGCAACGGTGTGGTGCGCGGCCGCCACGCGGGAGGAGAAGCGAGGAGGGCGCTGGTGGAGCTGTGGCTGGGGTCCAACGCGGGCCACGGGGACTCGCGCGCGCGGGTGCACACGCGACGGCCGGCGACCAAGAGCGTTGCCTCCACTGATGCTCGGCAGAGAGAGGGAGCAGATGGAGGCAAGAGCAACGCGCGTGAGAGAGAGCGAGGAGGAGGAGCGCTCGCGAGGAGGGGAAAAAGAGACCGGCGCTGGGGGCTCTGGCGACCGCGGACCAGACACGGCGAGGACTGATTTGGCCTAAGCGTGGCCGGCAGGATTAGGCATGGACAAGACCGGGGGACGCAGAGACGAGGTAGGCAAGGACAAGACCCGAGCAGCAGAGGCAGGAACGAGACGACTTCGCTTGGCTGAACGCTGAGGCAGACAGAGACACTGATTGCTATGGAACGATGCAACGGAGCGGACAGATACAACCAAGGCAAGCCACCAAAATAGAAAGAGAGGATAACAAGAGGGTTCGGTCAACTTTCAGCAGCGTAGAGATAAGGAAGAGGCAGACGAATAGAGGCATTGAAAATCAGGCGTGCGAGATAGAGCGGGAAAAAGAAAAGGGACCCGCTGCTGCCAGAATACTCGGTACGACTGCCGCTCGCATAAAAATATCGGACACGAAAGCTCATACTCGCACCTAGCCATGGAACAAAATATTAAAGCGTTAATTAATTATTTCGCGCAAAACAAATCGCCACAAACAACGCTTTAAAGTATAATTTTCAATTTTTACCGTTGACGCGAAAAGCTGGTTTTTAAAATTTTAAAATCCGAGAAAATCGTTTCAAAAGTTTTACTTAGGCCTAAATCATGGTGCTAAATGAGATCGTAACACCGGGTGTTACACGCAAATACCCAAATACATGTATAGGGCTCTAGGAAAACATGTTTCAAGGACCATTGCTTAACAATCATTAAATCAATCATTATGTTCAAGCTACAATCAATGTTCATATTCATTCAACATTCAACAATCAACATTTTTTAATCATTATTCAATGGTTTATTACATCATCTATTAAGTAAAGAATATGGAGTGAAGAATGAATTTTTGTCTTGAGTAGGATTAGCAGTGCTAAAAGTATTTTATGGCTAAGCCAAAGTGTCGTTAGCGATAAGAGTGGAACATCAGGCAATATTGGTGTGGTATACCCTATGCAAAAGGCCAAAAGCTAAAGCGGTGCTACAACAGTCTATTAGAACCATGGCCCCTTACTTAGCCTATAATGGAATATAAATGAAATCGATCACATAATGCTTTTGTGGAATACCTGAATACCATAACAACCTTGGCCATATTGATTCCTGATTTCCTTCGTTTCCGTTTCAACACCAATTTTTGCCATAGTTTGAGGGATTATTGATTGAGTATTCCATATTTCTAGACATCTAGCTACACTTTGACTTTTATCTTCTATTTCCCACACAGAGCATGCCAAATTCATAGGTATAGTCTATGCAATTGGGAGATTAGTTACTTGTTTTATGGCTCAAGGCTCAAAGTACAGAACACATAAATGTATGATGCATACCCAGCTTATGTACAAAAATCTCTAGACTAAAACATACAAAGTTCAAAGGTTGATCTCATCTTTGTGCAGGACCTATACGAACTGTTGATCCATTGTCTACCTGTTGCAACTCAAGCACAGCTTGCTGTCCTAGATGAGCACTTGGTTGAGCGTCGCTGTGCAAATCAACGCTTGTTGTGCTGAGATTTATTGTGCTGTTCGAGACTGAGCTGTAGTAGCCCATTGCATAGGACACCTCCAGCTCCAAGCTCTCCTTGAGCTCTGCCACAATGTCAGTCATTGACGGTTGCTCCCTTGATGGTTGTTCTTTGCACTTCAGTGCCAACTCTGCAACTTCCCAGACAGAGTTGACATCATACATCCCTCCCATCCTTGGGTCAGCAATGCTTGCAATGTCACCCTCAGAGAGCTTCTGGCACACCCATACCGCAACGTGGATGCTCTCGGTGCTACTTATGGGGACTGCTGGTGGCTGGCCTGTGACAAGCTCCAGTAGCACAACTCCGAAGCTATATACTTCACTCTTCTCACTTAGCGGGGATGTATTGTAGTACTCATGGTCAAGATACCCTAGGGTGCCTGCTGGCAGGGTGGTGACATGGGTCTTGAACTCATCAGCAAATGCCTTCATGAGCCCAAAGTCAGCTATCTTAGCCTCAAGACTAGCAGATAGAAGGATATTCTTTGTCTTGACATCCCTATGGATCAGTGGTGGTTGGCACGATTTATGTAGATACTCCAATCCTCACTACAGGAAAACGCCTCTCTTCCGATTGCTTGCTTGCCCGGTCGGCAAAGGCATAAACCCAGTCGGCAAAGGCTTTGCCGACCGCAGCTCACGTGGCGGTCGGCAAGAAGCGCATCGGCAAAGCCTGGGTCGGCAAAGGCGGATTTGCCGATCGCCACGTGGCACATCTGATCAACAAAGCCTTTGCCAACCGCCACGCCAGCATCGGCATAGCCACGTGTGCGTGCGCCGTCGACCGACGGCGACCTTTGCCGATCGCTGGTTCCTCAACGATCGGCAAAGAATTTTTTTTCAAAATTGTTTAGCCGACCGGCCGCCAAATTTCGGCGATCGGCAAAGAAAAGAAAATATTTTTTTTTTGAATATGTTCTTTGCCGATCGCTTTGAGATTCTGATCGGCAAAGGTTTGACCTCTTCTTGCCGATCGCCTCCCATTGCTGATCGGCAAAGACTCTCTTGGGTTTTTGCTTGACTTTTGCCGATCAGTAAATCAATCAAAAGCTGAAAATTTTTTTTTTTTGCTTTTGTTTTCTGTTTTCTCGCATCAAAACCCTGCAAAATCACAAATTATAATCCAATTTCACCAGAAGCACCGGTAGCACCATTTATATCACAATTTCATCACATTTGTCGCCAACATCACCACATATATCACAATAACGCACAACATCACATATATCTCACATATATGTCACAATAATGACCACACAAGTGCATTACAACCATCACATGAAGTCCAACACGTCAACACCACAAGTCGACGCGTCCATCACACGAAGTTCAACATAACAAGTCTAGGTCCATAACGAAGAAAAGAAATACAAGACAACAACTTCGACGATCACGGTGGATACATGATAATGTAATCGACAAATACCTAGCTTTCGTCAAGCCGTCCCCTCGGGTCTCGCTCGTCCGCTCCGCCCCAGAGCCCCCTGTGGTTTGCCCACGAAACCCCTTGGACCAAATCGAGGCGCTGCAGACGCCACCCTCCGCAAGACCGGCGGCCACGAAGTACGTCGGAGGAGGGCCACGCGGAGGTGGATACGGTGGATAGGGTGCATGTGGTGGATACGACATCATCGATGGCGGGACCTCCGAGACGGGTTCGAACCACCGACCGTACTGCGCAAGTTAAACGCCAAGTGATGTCATTAGTATATCGTAGCATGGACGCACAAGTTAAAGCAAGAGTCAATATACTCACCGGGGTCCCTCCAGGAGCGGCGGGCGAGCAGCAGAAAAACTCGGAGGAGGAGGCGGTGGAGCGAACATTGGAAGAGGAGGCGGTGTAGACGCCCCGCGTCTGCATGGACCGGAAGAAGATGGCCATGTTCTCGCATCCGAAAGTGTTGTAGTGCTCGCTGCCGCAGTTTTGGCCGGTAAGCCATCTGTTGTGCCATCATCTGCGCGTTAACGCGTGGCGATCCTCTCCTCCATCTTGGCCTCCATCCGGGCTGCAATATTACATCCGCAGTGTTGATTGTATGTACAGTGTCACGAAACGAGTGAACGACGAACGAAACGGCACTTACCGTGACGCCGATCGCCGCCGGGCGCGCCACGGAGATGTCGCCGGAGCTCGTGGGCGTGGATCGAACTCGGTCGGTGTAGGAACTCGGGCGGGGTCGAGGGCGCCAGGCCATGTAGTAGCGGCCGTGCTGCTTCCTGGTCCCAACCTCTGCAGGAGGTCTGTGTCCAGGGGCTCGGCGGTGGGGTCGAACGTCTCCCCGTAGCGCTGGCGAGCCGCGACGGTGTACTCGGTGGCCTTCTCGTAGGCGGTGGGGTTGGTGTACGCATCGGGCCCGTCCTCCGGGTTGTAGACGTTGTTCGGATCCGTCGCCTTGCCCTTGTGAGAGAGGAGGTACGCGGTGTACTCGTTGATTTCACCCACCGCGGCGTCGTCTGCGTCGCATTGAAAACACAAACATGGTTACAAGTATTGACAATTGAGCGCAAGGATTAAGACATGAACGGACGCATACCCATCTTGTCGCGAACTGGGGGAGGGGCTGATTCCCTTGGTGGTGTGACACCCCTCGATCTGCTACTGGCGGGCGGCCACGACGGTCGGCAAGCCGCCTCGCGTCGCGCCTCATCATCCGTCGCCACATGCGCACAATCTCCGTCCAACATTCCCTGTGGTTGTCGCACCACGACGGACACACCTGCATGACATCAAGTATTTGACATGCGAGAAGATTAGTGTAATGTTTCACTGAAGGAATCTGAACGAATGTTGTCATACTTAATTACCTGCTCGTATTGTGCTTGGGTGAGGTCGGCCTCCCTCGAGTTCATTCTCTGGCGGATTTGGGGCTTCTTGATGTTCTCTCCAAGCACGTTGGCGTGGAAGTCGCGGATGGCCTGTATGCGCGCCTCATGGTACAGGTCCTTGAGACGATCTTTGCAGACCGCCTCCACCACTCGCTCGCGCCTTTGGGCTTTTTACCCTCCTCGCACGTGAAGAAGTCCTGCACACAGACACATCATGTAGCATTTCCTTTTTGCAAGAAGTCCGACGAATGCGTACTATTTAGCAATGCGGTGCGATGAAAGACTCACCCAAAACTCCCTCTTTATCTTTGCCGCGATGGTCTCGCCACCCTCCTCGACGAGGTAGAAGTGGGACCACTTGGTGGGCACCTTCATCTCGCCGTTGACGTTGACAAGGCCAGGTGGTACTCTCTTAATCGAGGCCCCGGATGCCATTGATATGGCGTGCTTGACCCGCTCCACTCATAATCTTCCGTGAACTGCACGAGTCATTAAGAACAATTGTTAGTCTTCGATTCGATTTTGACATGTCATATGAACAAGTAGTGAAATCAATAATGGTTACTTACGTCCGCCCACGGGTGTGATCACGGGCGCCGGTGGAATTGCGGCCGCACCCTAGGAAGCTGCGTGGGCCCGCAGAGTACACCTTAGGCCACGCTCGACAAAGTCGAAGCCATCTCGCTTTGGTGTAGGCGTCGCGTCGCCGTCGTCGTCGTCATCGCCATCGTGCCGTTGCCGCCGCCGCCGCCGCTTGCCGTCGTCGCCTGACGTCGTCCCCCCCCTGCGAGGACGAGAACAAAAACCCTCTGATCGCTGGCGACGTCCATTGGGGGCTGGGACCCCTCTTCGACGACTCCAGCACCAACACCTCCTCCTCCTCCTCGTCGTCGTCGGCGGTCTCCTGCGGGGGGACCTGGTACGCCGAGCGTACTGCTCGATGCGGCCGCTGCCGCCGTCAGCCTGGCATTTTGCCGAGTGCCTGCAATGACAAAGAACAAAACTGTTAGCATAAATAAATGACAAGTACTTGTAAAGGAACATAATAATAACAATATAGTATTACATGGCCTCGTAATTATCTCCACGAACGGCAATATCTCGGGCGTGGAGTCGTCATCTCTATCACTATCGCCGCGTCATCGCTATCAATATTGTCGACCTCCCTTAAGTCATCATTTGTCATCATATTCGCCATCCCGCGCATCGCCATCATACTCCTCGAGGACGGGTCGCACCACCTCGTCCCTAATAGGATGGTATTCACCATGGTGGCGCCAACGGTATAGTTTGGAACGAACCTGCTGCTTGAACAGATCTCTCAACACCGAGCCTTTACTTTTTCTTCTTCTGTTCCTCGCACTTTCATTGCGAGGACACGACATCCGAATCGACCCTTTAGCAAATGGGGCCAAATGCATGCTCCAGAACTCGGGCGTCCCCTCGATCCATTCGTGGCTCTTACTTATGAAGCTCGAGTACATCCACTCACGGTCACCCATGCTCATCATGCGGCAATGTTAACATGTGATAAAACCAGCAAGTGCATCTACAACGCGCTCCTACCATCTAATAGGTGAAGGATAGGTCCTAATCCCACCCGAGCATGCGCAGACGAGGTTAGCTTCCATGCTCGCTCCGTCCGAGACGGAATTTCGGCAAGACACCTCCCGCTGTTCTCCGATACACGTCCCGGCGGGAGAGTGTGTATCCAGAGAACAACGGGAGGTCTCTGCCAAAACTCCGACTTCGGGACGGGCGGAACATGGGAGCTAACCTCGTCTGCGCGCATCCTCGGCTGTCCAAATAACGTGACAATCCGAAACGGATACGGTTATACATATCACGAAGAACGCATACTTCCAACCGTATCCGTTTGGACGGAGACGCCTAACCGGGTAACGCGACCTATGACTACATGTGGCGGAAAGAGGGGTCATACCGCAGGTGCGTGAAGAAAGAAAGGCTAAGCAAGGCGATCTTGAGTCGTGCTCCTCCGGCTAGCCTCCAATGGGAGCCCTCTGAAAAAAGAAAAAACAATTAGTGAGAACGAAAAATTTGGCAGCACTCTCCCACATGGGAAGGTTACCAAACTCAAGAAAAAGACGGCACGATGGCCGACAAACACATATACATGTCGTGCACACGATGGCCGAACAACCACAAATGTATTTCCAATCCATGCGTAAGAATATAAGCGGTATTAACAAAGTAAACTACTACTACTAGTAGTACTACTACCTCGTCGTCACGGGACGGCCGTCACCCGGCGCTGGAGCGTGAGGCGCGACCTTGACGGCGAGGCGGCGAAGGACGGCGCGGGCGAGGCGAGGACGGCGAGGCAGGCGGCGATGCAGCGGCGAGGACGGCGACGCGGCTTCAGCGGACGGCGGACGGCGCATGACGGACGGCGCAGACGACGGACGGAGCGGGCACGCCGGATCGGGCGGGCAGCACGCAGCCGCCAGGCGGGTTTGGCGAGGCCATGGCAAGCATGCGCCGACGCCGAGTCAGCTGCAAGCCTGCTGGCCTGGCCTGGCCGGATCCGGATCGGGCGGGCACCGGTGAGGGGTCTGGAGGGCGGCCGGCCGGCCTGGAGGGGCAGG